GAGTAGGGGTGAGGGTGGGGTAAAAAAATTAAATTTAAAAACAAGCTTTAAAATTATTATTTTCTTTGAGGGGGAGAGTGGTTGGGGGGCTGGTTTGAGGATAGGGACAAAATAAATTGATTTTTTCAACAAAAAAGTAATTGTAATTTGAAGTTGAAAGAGAGTTTTGAAAAGTGGTTTCCTTTAGTTTTGAAAGGAAATCATTTTCGTTAAATTTGAGGAAAATTAGTTGATTTAGAAAACATTTTTCAAAACATTTAACCCAACCAAACATGAGAAAATTGAAAAATATTTTCCGGAAAATGTTTTCTTTCACCAAACACACCTTAATACAAATAAGTTTTCTTTACTAGCGAGTTTGAAATATTTTACTTAAATTGATTTGATAATTCATCATAAACAACATCAATATCTTCGAAAGATAATAAAATTTGGGTACATATCAACTTTCCAAACTCCACTTATAAAATTATTACACAGAGTATTGTTGCGTAAGTTTTTTGGCATCCTTTGAGAGAGGAACATTTGGCCAATTTAAATGTCGACTTCAATAATTGATAATATGTCCTTTTATGGTCGCCGACCGTTGGGTTGTAATTTCTTTCTGCTTGAAGACAATTTGCTAAGATTGTGGACAGCGATATACAAACTACAAAATGGCCAATATCAATGCGACTTTTTATTTTCTTTCATGACAGTATTTGATATCAATCTTTTGTTAAAGGACTAAATAGTATGTAGAGGGAACCATGGCCATCACCATATTGTCTTGCAGCAAATCCATTTAAAAAATAGGACACCCGTCAACCAATTGACAATCCCTTTCGCAGTTGGACAAGAAGCCAAAGGGCATGTATTTGTATGACTTCCCCCCATCACTGAAGGCTAACATGCTCATGTCCTAAGCACAAGTACAACAATACACTCATGAAGGTTAATCCGGCATCTAATGCCCCAGATAAAACATAATTGTGACGACTCCACCAACTCTTGCAATATCGATATACAACAAATCCTGAAATAAATGCAATAATGATCCAACTGTTGTAGTTGACAGCAGTAGCACTCGCAGGGGTGGCTGGTAAGCTTTGAAAAAAAGACTTTGGCCTTAGACCCCCAAGTTTAGGGGGCCCCATTTTTTGGTTTCTTAGGTAGGATTAAACTAAAAAAAAAAAAAAACTAAGACTTTAAATTCAAATCAAAATTAATGAGATGACTTGATATGACTATTACTTTTTATCTTATTAGTGTGTACTTTTTAAATTGTACAAGTTATCTTTTTTTTTTTTTTTACCTTATTCTTTTTCTAATTTATTTTTATATATTCTATCCTTCTCTCTTCCTCTCTTCTATTTCTTCTCTCTTTTTCTTTTCTAATCTTATATCTCTCTTAATCAAAACTTAAGAATTTACTTGTTCTATTGATAATTTCAATTTTCAAAAAATATAGTTTATGTTTTTGATTTGAACAATTTGAAGTATATGAAAATATTTTTGGTTTTCTAGTTAGTGGGAAAAAATTGAGATCATTAGATGATGAGAATTCAAAAAAATATTGTCTTAATCTTGAATGTTCCTTAAAACATAATACTCACTCCGATATTGACGGTTTAGACTTATTTTCTGAGTTAAAAGTGTTAAGGAAAATCATACAAGTAGAAGACAATACTCTAATTGAGATACTT